GCTGCTGCACCAATTTTTCCTCCAGGGACTACCCCCATTCATTATCCAAGTCAAGATCCGTCCAGGATGGGTGCATCACAGGGTATAGGCAAACCTTGGCCGGAGGAATAATATCATAATATGTCAATTTTTTATCTAATTATATAACGTTATTTGAAGAAAAATATATCATTTTTGTCCAGACTGATTTTCTCTCTTTCTTTTTATATGTTTAATTAACGATTCAAATATATCTGCCGCGAAGTATTTGCATTGTGTTACGCGAAAGAGTATGAGATCTACGTCATTTTTGTTGTATATTTGTTGGTATGACAACAATATTGATTTTCAGCCTGAGCTAAGTCAAGTTCTTTCTGTACAGTATTGTCCTGTTTAGCTGACGCTCAAAATGTGGCAAGACAACCAAGTCAAATTTGATGTTTCTCATTCGTAATTATAAAATTTAATTATCTTTAAATTATTATTTAGCTTTTATTAATGCAGCTATAAGTTTTGTTTTGTAACTACGTCAAATAGTATGCTTCTCGCATTTGGACAAACGTGAAGTAAAGTGATTAAATAGCTACATTTAGTGCTAAATGTGCGCTGAGTGAAAATAAATTATTAAATAATATGGCGAAAATATTAAATCTTTTTTGCATGTAGTAATATGCAATTACGACCTGGTGAACTCACTGTCGACAAACTTGATATGATAGAAGATACAAAAGGCAATACTGGGGAACTAGGAAGACTAATTGTCACCAACTTGAGAATCATATGGCATTCTTTATCCTTACCACGAATTAACTTAAGTATGAAACGATTAGCGCACATATATGCAAATATAATTTTATAATTAAATAATACACTGATTCACATTTAGAGGTTATCATTTACTGCAGATTTCTGTAGAAACCATAACTTCTAAAAATGAATCAGTGTATTATTGAAAAACAGTAAATATTCGCTGATATTACAGTTATAAGTGTAGCACTGAAGTCGGTGATAATATACGTACACTGATCATTCACTTTTACAGAGTAAACTTAATATCAGCTTTTTTTAAGTGCATCGTGAATACTGCTCATTTTTTTAAATCTGGAAAAAGGAAATGCAGTTTTTTAGTTCAATTGCATTCAACTGAAGCTGTGTTCCAAAATTCACTGAAAATCTACAGTTTACGTTATGTAAATATATATTTTCAACACTGGCAGCGAATTTTGGAACACAGCCCGAATAAACAAAATTTTAAATTTTAAATATGCATTCGGTTAAAAATAAAATTACAATCCATTTTAATACATTCTCGTTTACTCAGTTGTTTTTCTAAAAAAAAGTGATTATGCAACGATTTTATAGGCTTAGGCTATAATACATTTATCACAGTGAATACGAAAATTCTTCATACGGTAAGTACTATTTTAGCATGAGCATTAATAGGGAGTTTGCATAATTTTTGAAAAATATTGCATTTTATAATTTATATATACATATATATATTGTATATATATCTAACTGCAATTTTAAGTAATTTTTTAACGCAAATTATGCAAGAAAATAAATAATAAAGTATTGCATTATTTAAAATGCCGAAGACGGTCCGGATACGATCGAGCCCTCCCGAACGCGCACACTGTGACGTCACACTGCACAAAGAAACCACAATTATTCAGTAAGAAATTAATTTATTATAAAAATGATCAAAGGAAACACGTACAAAATGTGTTTCGTACCTGTGTGTAAAAGCACAAAAATTAAAACACCAGAAAAATTGTTTTTTTATTGTTTTTTCAAGCTGAAAATGTGAGAAAAGAATGGTTTAAAAGTGTACATTGTGTTGAACCAGGAAAATGGAATTATTTTTGTTGTGAAGATCATTTCGATATAGGTATTATATAAAATACAAGGTCTAATAAAAAAATAAGCGAACTTTTTGAATTACTCGGCAACGAAGCGTTCTAGCGACATGCAGTTTGCAGCACTACAATCGTTATAATCTTCCGAGTAACTGGCTTTTTTAAAATTGTTTACATCTCGTTTAGTTT